GAGCGGCATATAAATCGCATAAATAAAATAATAAATATTTAAAAGTATGCCGCCCCCCTTCCTACACACTGCATTCCTTATGGAAATTTCTGTGGCATTTGCAGTCTAGTATTTGACTATTTCATGCACATTAGTGGATGTATCTTTACAAGACTGCAGGAGATGAGCTGATAAAATTGCCCCAGTTTTACAAGGAATGAAGCAGAAATAACGAGGCTCGTATTGTCGGAACTGCCCGCTGCTCAACCAGAGCCCCTAAGGACCTGATTGGGCTGGGAACTTGGCATCCAGACAGCAGTTCGTATATTCAAAACACAGCACTGCTGTTGCGAGTGCTCAGCATTTCTGCAATTTTCCTAATTAGAATAAAATACAGTGGAAAACACTTGAACACCAGGGGGAAATAAGACCAGAGATTCTGTCACATAGATCCACAGTGATGATCCACCCGGGGTCTTTAGCAGAGCTGGATGTGTAGATCCACAGCAGAGATCTCTAGCACGAGTCACTGGTAGCGGTAGAAGGCTGTTGTCCTCCGTCTGGACCAGGCGGTAGAGGAAGACGAGGTGCTTCTTTTGCCAGTGGGTTTCACAGCTGCCTGTAGAGGAAGGGTGAGACTCAGACCCCCGGGGTTGACTTCCAGGGTCTGGGGTGGTTATAGACTCTTCTCTTGTCCGCGGTCCCATTATACCTCTGCTGCTATCCGGTCTCTCCATTCCTCCTGCCTCCTCCTCTTCCTGCCCCTATCAGCCCACCTCTTATACCTCTTTTCCCCTATGTTCCCATTCATCCACCTCCACCAGCTCCTCTGCTGCCTTCATCCTCTGGCTACTGAAACTTATAGCTCTCCCGAGATTTCTTTTTCGATCCCTCTGCTTTCCAGTCACATGCCTCCCTTGTTATCTTTGCTGCATGGACTTTGGCATTAGGGGCAATAAATATAAGAAAAACAGTTTTTTTGCTGTCTCTGCACATAACAGCCCTTGGCTTCCAGGAGAAAAAATCCTCCAGAAAGCCACATCTCTGCAGCCCTGGTCTGGAGCGTGCTCAGTGCAGACACCATCTGTGTAGGATTTAACTACTAGGTGTGAATTGAGATTTTTTGGAGGATTTGAACTTGGCCAGGTTTGAGAACATTTCCACAGAGATGGCAAGGCTGATACTAAGGCCACCTCCTTGAGAGAATCAGAATTTCTGACGTTAGGAAAATAATGTACGTTCCCATCATCTTATGTCCTGGAAATGAGCAAAAATAATAATTACAAAAAAGAAATCCAGCTAGGCAGACTCTACCTTGGAAAATTTCAGCTCAAACTGTTAGAGTGCGAGCTTGCCACAAGCCACTGAAAACAGGGCCTTATAATACAATGACGTCACCGTTCATAAACGTATTGTGAATTGCAGAGTCTCTGGTGGTTTTCTTCATCTCCCAGCTCCTGGATGCATGTGATTAGACAAGTAATTCCACTTTTATTTCTTAAAAAAAAGATATCCCATAGTTTGTAGCCTGCGTGGTTGCAGGAGAGAACTTGAAAACCTGACCCTGGTACAATTTAAAGGCTTGGAAATCCAAATCCAAATAAAAAGAACCCAAATTATGCATATATATATATAGAGAGAGAGAGAGCGAGAGAGAGAGAGAGAAAGATCTATTTATCTATATGCACATACATACATATATATATACAGTATACACACATATACTATATATACACACATACACACACATTTTATATATATATATATATATATATATATAAAATATGTGTGTGTGTGTATATATAATGTGTGTGTATGTATGTATACCCAAATGCCAAATATTTACATATATATACATATATAAAATGTGTGTGTGTTTAAGAAACATGATTTTCTAAGATAATCATGGTTTTAGGAGCCTTGAGTCATGGTATTTGAATGCTTGAGGTTTTCAATCCTGTAATGGAAAGTGTTGGGCAAACTTAACTATAAGCACTGCTGGCGATTGTGCCTAAAAACACACTGTTTTGTTTTCAATTTGAACCTCTGTGTCTCTCCGGCTCTGCCAGGGTGTTGTCTGTTTGCATCACCCTTTCTGTTTTGATTCTTCTGCTTCAGTTTTCTCCTTGCAGGAGAGGTTGAGCTGTATGTATTTAAAGTATCTGAGTAGTTAGGGTACAGCTTGATTTTGTTTTATGCCTTTTTGGAAGAGAGTGGCATTTGCTAACTGCCGCCAGGCTGGCCTTTCTATTTCGGTACAGTTGAGTACTGTATGTCTCTCTATTTTGGTCCCAACAGCGAGCTACTTAGAGAGTGTTAGGCCAGACCTTGAAATTTGTGCATGTTCATTAGTCTAGTTTATTATTTGCATTGCCATAGCATGCACATGGTGCATTTAGCATCCAGGCCCCATTTTTCTGAGTGCCGGACAATGCGTATAGCAAGAGACAGTCTCTTCCCCCAAAGGGCTCACGGTCCAAGCCCCCTAAACCTGAGAACACTTAGGCACGTATATAACTACTCTCACAGGAGTCCACTGTCTCCTTCCCTAAGTTATAGACACATTTAAATGTTCTTGATGCTCAGGGTTCATTTTAGGACAAGGTGCAAGAGATCAGTGCAGGTGGAAGAGTGAGAGTACCGGGGCTGAGAAAAGCTACGTACATAGATCAGCGCTGTGCACTCTTAGCAGACTTTGAGTCCATTTTTTGCCTTTGATATAAAATAACCCAGAAATATAAATATCAGTGTTTTCTAATCCCTTATGACCTCATGCTGACCTCTTCTCCAGCAGTGATTTTTACTGCCTGCCGTTTCCCATAGTTCAGCCTATTGCATCACAACGGCATTATTTTCTCTGTAATCTGCATAGTTGTTTTTTTTTTTTTTCTGTGCTAGCTTTTATTTTAGCCTCATATGTCTGGTTTTGTTGTTAATCCTTTGGGCTCGCAGGCTCTAAACTTCCATTTTAGAGGAGGGGGATGCACGTAGGTCAGGACTGATCTGCACTGGGGGAGAGGCTGGGAATTGGGAAAAGGTGATCTGTATTGCACGTGTGGGGAGGATGGATGGATGGACGGGACTGTAGCGATAAGGATCGCTCTGAAATTGCGCAGGGGAATATTTTTGGTGCTGGGTATTCATGACTGTCACCTCCCCCCTACTTCTGTTTGGGTTTAAATTCATCGTTTGGGAGGAAAGCGTAAACCTGAACTTTACGCGAGGCTCCCCATGTCTGACAAAAGGGTGCTTGTGCCCAAAAGCTTGCAAAAAACGTTTTTCCATTTATTGAGTTGTTCTAATAAAAGATATCACATTAACTCAAAGAACCTGGCCTGCCTGTGTCCTTAGACCAATGTGGCTACAACCAGCACCCCTAAACCTGAAGTTTTTATACGTGGGTATAGAAGTGGTAGGTAAGAAGGACCTCGGGGTTCACTTTCCCTGACCTCAGGGTGAAGATCAAGCACAAATTCAGCATCCAAAGGGGAGCGGGTCCCCAAGCCATTTGTACAGCTGAGCGTCGGGCCGCGAGGTGCGAGGCACCCCCTGATCCTGCCCCATTTCAGTCCCTGGCAGCTTTTCCCTGGGTTTCCCTGGGAGGGGCTCTGGCCTCGGCCCTTGGGATCCACCCTGGCCTCTCAGGGAGGTGGGGAGGTGCAGCCAGGGCCCCCTGAGCTGATGGCCCAGGAGTCACTTGGGGTGGGGGTAATTTGAGGGGTAACCCTTTCCTGCTGGGGCCAGCAGCATGGGGAGGGGGCTGCC